GGGTGGGGGGAGGGGGAGGGGGAGGAGGGAGAACGCAGAGGAAGGGAGGCAGAGGGCACATCTCAGGAAAGGGAAGCGAGAGGGGGGGACCTCTTCTGCCGGCTCCTTGACTCGTCTGTCCACATGGTGCTCCCTCCCTGGCCTGAGGAAGGAGGTGGCTGTCCCTGGGGCTAGCACAAGCCAGCACACAGGGTGCTCGGAGTTTGTGTAATTGCAGCCCCTTGGGCTCAGAGGAGTTTAGCCTGTTGCCCTCAGTCACAGTGTTTCCGCCCTCCAGGAGTGGGGAAAGGGGCCCCTTGGCTGGGTCTAGCAGAGTGCCTTGGAGACACCCTCACTCCCCCTGCAGGCTGCAGCCTAACCCCTCCTGTCCCTTCTCAAAGGTCAGCCTCAGGCTTCCCACCCAGGCCTCAAGCTGGGGGGGCAGGGTGGGGTACAGGTGGGAGCCTCCCTGGGCCCACCAGGATTGAGAGCACTCCCAAGGCCCAGTACAAATCATGTGAAAGCCCACAAGACCGGTAGCGGGGTGGGGGGGGCCACAGCCCTCGGCTCAGATTCCTGCACCACATTCCCAGTCCCAAACTGCCAGGTACCTCTCTGGGCTCTGGCCCCCAGCTCCCCTCTCGCACAAGCACTCAGCACAATCAGCTCCGGCTGAAGAGGGGGGCGCCTCTGAGCCCGGGATCTACCCACTCCACAGGGAGGGCGAGAGGGAGCCCCCTTCCCGGCCAAAGCAGGTGCCCGCGAGCATTTCCCGGGAAGGGAGGCAGGGGGAGGGCACGGCTGGGCGCTGTATCTGGCCACAAGTCGAGGAGCGTGACGCAGCACCCCCGCAGCTCCCCAACTCTAGGCCCTGAGGGGTTAATGCTGGGCGTGCCTTCCTTGGCTGGTGGCCCGGGCAGATCCCCCACGTCAATCACCCGCAGAGGCACCCGCCTGGCCCGCGTTGCCATGACGACGGGCTGGGCTCGCTCCGGTTTGGAAAGGGGAACAGAGCCCAGGGGACCCGGAGAGGCCAGGGAAAGGACAAGGGCTCGACCGAGGACCGGGAGCAGTACCCGCACACAGCTGTGGACACTCATGGGGCCGAGTACTGGCCGGACTAGGGCGAGGGGAATGTACGGTGGCAGAGGAACACCATGGGGTGAACAGCAGTGATGCCGGGTGGAGATCAGCGCGACCCCGGCTCCCGTGCATGTGCATACAGTGGGCACGAGGCATCTACAGGGACATGGGGAAGCCCCAGTGCTGGCGGTTGCACTGGGCCACAGGCGCCTACGCAGAAAGGGGAACAGAGCCCAGGGGACCCGGAGAGGCCAGGGAAAGGACAAGGGCTCGACCAAGGACCGGGAGCAGTACCCGCACACAGCTGTGGACACTCATGGGGCCGAGTACTGGCCGGACTAGGGCGAGGGGAATGTACGGTGGCAGAGGAACACCATGGGGTGAACAGCAGTGATGCCGGGTGGAGATCAGCGCGACCCCGGCTCCCGTGCATGTGCATACAGTGGGCACGAGGCATCTACAGGGACATGGGGAAGCCCCAGTGCTGGCGGTTGCACTGGGCCACAGGCGCCTACGCTCCAGTGCCCAAGGGAGGGGGCTGCCAGCCAGCCAGCAGGCATTTCTCCTGTCGCCTGTACCCATGAGCCACCAACCCTCCCTGGCCTGCCCCAGAGGACTCTGAGGGGCCAGGTTTCCAAGCTCAGAGGATAAAGGGAGGGCCGCCATCTGCTCCCCTGTGACAAGATGCAGCCAGCCCCTCATGGCCGCCTCAATCTGGAGGGAAACTGATGCCACAGTGATGGGGTGAGCAGCTCCAGTAACCTAGCAAGGTCGGGAAGTGTCCCAGTGTTGCAGTACTAGGACATTCTAGTGCCCAAGGGCACATCCGACACCATCGGCCACCCCCCAACACCAGGCTCCCACCACTGGAGGCCCAGAGGGGCTGGGTAGAAGGAAACAGCAGTGGAGCACCCCCCACAGCTGAGCAGAGGGAAATGCAGTGAGCTTCCCCCATGCCAGGTGGCTCACGAGGCCTGGCTCACATAGGGGGAGGCTCACATGAGGGGGCGGGGAGGAGGACGGGGAGCTGCAGAGACCCTCATGGGCTAGGTGCTGTGGAAGTAGCCTCTCCCACCCTGAGTGACCTTGGACCGAGGGCAGGGTGCAGGGACCCCTGAGAAGTGGCCAAGATCCTGGGTCCCACCCCACTGGGCTGCCCACCAGGACCACGGGAGCCCTGCTCAGGCTGTGCGGCCCCCAAGGCCTGTGGCCCAGCCCGCCCACCAGGCGAGCCCTGACTCACGTAGTCCTGGAAGGCCTTCGCCTCACTCGAGTGCTCACACGCCTCTCTGCGGTCGGGCGCCGCGCAGTACAGGTCCCAGAACACGCTGTGGGCAGCAGGGGGACCATGGTTGCCTAGCGCACCCCAGCCCGGCCCCTCCACACCTGCCCGCCCACCCGCAGCAGCCCTGCACGCACCACCACCAGGAGTGCAGGAACCCCGGGGGCTCCCCCAGCGTGATGTTCTTCTCCCATCGGATCTGCAGAGGAGAGGAAGGCAGGTGAGGCCCCCTCCGCATCACCCAGAAAAGCACCCAAAGAACACTGGCACCAACACCCAGAGTGAGCAGAGGGCCCCAGAGGGACACATGGCCTGGATGCCAGCCCTCAGTTCCCAGGGCCACTGGAGAAGCAACCCCAAGCCCACCACCTGGAGCCCCAGTGGAAACAGGGTGGAGGACCCCAGGCTGTGGGTGGGGAGGAAGAGCAGGCTAAGGGTGGGGGACAGGGACTGCTCACCTCGGACAGAAAGGTCTGGGCGGACTTCTGGGCACCGACATGCAGCAGGTACTCATACACATACAGCGCCAACCTGCAGGCGGTGGGCGGCGCGGCTCAGGCTCTGCAGAGGCCCAGGCCCAAGGCCAGCCTGAAGCCCCTCCCCAGCTCTCGGGTGGGCAGGTTGAGACAACGGGCAGGGGGCCCACAGTGAGCCCTTCATGAAGCCCACCCTGCTGGGACCCCAGTCGCCCTCTCTAGTTGTTCAACCCAGCCAACTCCTACACATCTATCAACACCTTGCCTGCAGGCCCATCCCCAGTGTCCCCAACCCCCAACTCTAGGTCAGTCTGTTCAGTTCGACACCCTCTCATAGACTAAGTCCTGGCCCTGCCCTGCCAACACAGACCCCAGAGTGGCCGCAACCCTGGAGGCCTTCTGCCCAGGGAAGGGGCTCCTAGGTGTCACTACTGACTGCTCCTGGGCCGTGTCCTTTACCCAGGGCCCACCACTAACATCCCTAGCCTTCTCTGCCAAGGAAGGGGTCCCTCTGCTCTGAGGCCATCCTCCTCCCTGGGGCCCCTGCTCCACCCCTCCCTGGTGTCCCTAGACCCCACCCTCTTCCTTGGGACTGATGCCTGTCATCCAGTAGTGCAGGGGTGGCTGAGACCTTTCCTACAAACTCCCCACAACAGGGCAGTACCAACCCCTGGGGGGAGTCTGTGGAATGGAGATGGGTGTGCCAGGGGAGATAGAGCCAGTGGAGCCATCTGTCCAGCATGGCACCACCCAATGCCCACAGTGCTCTGCATGAGTCCCCAGCCTGCAGGGACCCACTTGACTCGCCTCCTCACTTGCAGCCCGCCCCCTCCCAGAGCACTGGCCTGGGCCATTCTCCACCCAGCCAGGTGGTTCTAGCACCCCCTCTGCACGCCACACAAGGAGGCCAGGCTGTCACCCCTTTCCTCTGGTCCTTCTGCACACCAGGCAGCACAGGGACAAACCCCTTACCCCCAGGGGGTCACCCACTTCCCTGGCACCAGCCCCTCCTGAGTCCGTTTTTTTTTTTTTTAAAGATGACCGGTAAGGGGATCTTAACCCTTGACTTGGTGTTGTCAGCACCACGCTCAGCCAGTGAGCAAACCAGCCATCCCTATATGGGATCCGAACCCATGGCCTTGGTGTTATCAGCACCGCACTCTTCCAAGTGAGCCACAGGCCGGCCCTGAGTACCTGTTCTGAGTCGTCCCCTCTGGGCACCCCCAGGGTCCTCCTAGTGGGCTTGGGGAGTCCTGGCTCCAAGACTGAGGGCTCCTGAGGCCTGCCTGAGGCTGAGCCCTGGGGGAGGCAGGAGGCAGGAGGCAGCGGGCGGTCTGGAGGCCCTTCCAGACGCCTCCGGCTCAGCTGTCTGCCTGTCCCCACCCTCCGCTGGCTGTTGGCCCCATCCTAAAATAACCTTCCTTTGAGTCACGCTCTGCTGTCTCCCAGCCCTCCCAGGCAGGCTTCTCAAGCCTCAGAGCCTCATACCCCAGCGCCCCGCTGCTGCTCTCAGACCTCCTGTGATGGCCCCAACTCCAGCCCCAACACCCGGGAGTGGGGAGCGTGGGGACTTCCTGTCCCCTCACTCCCGTGGCTCTGCCCTTGCCCTGGACTCTTGTCCTTCCTTCCTTCCTTCCCGCCTCCCTCCATCTGTCCATTCAGCAGTCACTGAGTGCCCCATTGTACAGTGCACACACTGGCCCCTTCCTTCTGGAGCCCACGTCTCGTGGGGAGTTCCAGAAGGTAAGTTATGTGGCAGATTGGAAGTACAGAGGCTATGGACAGACAAATGGGCAGCATGGGGGTGGAGGAGAGGGCAGGCACCTGCGGCTCACGCTGTACCCCATGAGCTGTGACGGCCACCCCAGGGATGGGGACGGGGCAGCTCCAAGTGTGGGTTTCGCCCGAGACAGGGCACCAGGGTCACCACAGCATCATCACCCCACTCTCAGGAGAGCCTCCAGTTCAGGGCCCCTCAATTCTGACCTCGCATCCCCCAAGTCTCCAGGGTCCACCCTTCCTCTGCCTGGTCACCTTCTTGGCCCCTCAGCCTCCAGGCTCACCTGTCCAACTCACTTCTATGACCTCTCTCCCTTTCTAGAAGCTTTCTGAGCAGCCAGTGGCCGATAGGCCCACATCCATCAAAGGAGGATGCAACAGAAAGGCCACTGTGGCAGGTTCCTGGAGAGCAGACTTGACCGGCCACCCCACCCTCCTGCCATTCTGGGGATCACAGCAGGGGGCACGAAAGGCTGGGGATGTTGAGAAGCCCCGAGATGGGGAGCAAGACAGAGATGGGGGGCAAGACAGAGCTGGGGGAATCCAGGGAGGGAAGGGGTATGGGAGGTGCAGATTCGGGCCATACCCCCACAGGACAGCCAGCTCCTCTGGGGGCTCAGGCAATTGTTCTGAAGGAGGTGACCTCTTGGCATCCCTTCCCCTGGGCTGTCTGGTGCAGCGTCTGACCCAGAACCCAGCCCCCCAGGAGCCCACCCCTCGCCACTCTCGCTCACCCTCCCTCCCACCTCTGGTCCTGCCGGACTTGCCCTGGCTCCATGCTCCCCTTTCCCCTGGTGGCCCCTCCTGCCTCAGCTCCATGACGCCTTTGAGCAGCTGCCCACGAGCCCCTCAGCCCAGCCTCCCGTGAGTTTGGGGTCCACCTAACATCTGAAGGCCCTCTGGCCAGTGGGCCACCCCTACCCTTCTGTCTTCTCACCCACCTGGTCCACAGACCAAACGCCATCGGCTCAGCCTTTACACACATCCCCACTCAAAGGAGCCTCTGGTCTGTGCCTCGCCCTGGGTGGTACTACGTAGTGTTCACCTGCCCACCTAACCCTAACCCATCTCTCACCTGGGCTATGGCCCCCCAGCAGGCACTCTTTGCTCAGACCCTCCTGTGTCCCTCCCCCCAGATACACACACATGCTACCACAGAGCCTTTGCACAGGGTGTTCTCCTGCCTGGGGCATTTCCACCCAGACTCTTGTGGCTCCACTATCACCTATCAGAGGCTTCCCTGTCACATCTAACCCTCCACCTGGCTCCATCTTTCCCATCAGCCTAGTTGTCACTACGTGACTGCCTGCAGTCCCCACTGGCATGTGGCTGTGGGAGGGCGGGGGCTTTGTTTCTTTGCTCACTGCACTTAGAACAGCACCGGGGCTGCTTGGGCCCCCAGTCCCCCTGAATAAATGAACCCACCAACACCTGGACCCCTCCTGGACATCACAGGCTAACTGAGGTGACAGGTGGGCACTGAAAAAGGTCAGCATGTCGGTGTTCAGGATTTTGGAATTTATCCTAGAGAAGGCTAGAGAAGGCTTTTGGTTTTGCTGATTACACGTTGGTACTTTTAACAAGATTGAGCCTCGTGGAAGAATGTTTTTTGGTTTTGGTGAAACATTTTTTTTTTCTTTTTTAAAAGATGACCAATAAGGGGATCCTAACCCTTGACTTGGTGTTGTCAGCACCATGCTCTCCCAAGTGAGCTAACCGGCCATCCCTATATAGGGATCCGAACCCGTGGCCTTAAGTGTTATCAGCACCACGCTCTCACAAGTGAGCCATGGGCTGGCCCTTTGGTGAAATGTTTTGAAGCCTGGACATCTGTCCAGAGAGTTTGGGGACCCACAGGGCCCTCCCCTCACAGAGGGCTTCTGTCTGGGCCTCCAGGTCCAGGGCATCACCAATTGGAGACATAATATAGTATTAGCACCTCCTGGACTAAAACGCACCACAACTGCCACCATAATTATGGAGAATTACCATAGTTATCAAGAATTACCGCAATGGGTGCTCCCTCCCCAGAGGCCCTCCTGGGCACACGTGCTGCTCAACTGCCCCCAAAGCAACCCTCCAGCCCACACAGTCCTCCCTCTCCTCTGCCAACCCCAGAGGCCAGGCCTTCAGCAGCGCCTGACCCGGGTGTTGGCCCCTCCCCATCAGCCTCCACGCTTGCCTCTCGCAGCCCTCTCCACCCAGTGGCTTCTGGAGTGATGATCCCCAATCACGCATCCCATCCCACCCTTCCCTGGCCTTCCTCTGTAGCTCCTGTTCCCCCCTTCTCCCCCAGCCAAATGCAGGGCCTCTTTTTGGGGCTCCTTTCTCAAGAACCTCTACCCACTGGGCTCATGAACAAACTATCTGTATCCATGCATGCATTTCAAAAGGAAGCCCAAAAGAAAAACACAAGATGCCCAGTGACACTGAGCGTGGTTGTCATTATGGAACTATACTAAACCTGCTGGGCAGTGTTTGGGTGCTCAAGGATCTATGCGCGCGCGCACACACACGCACAGCAAATGTTTAACACCAAACACACACAACCCTTCCTGCAAGTGGCCCACTCGGACCCCAGGCTCCCTCTCACCCTGTTCGCTGTGAGCCCCCTAGGGCAAGGGACCCACCATCCAGCATGCACCCAGCAGTCCATTCCTAGGGCAGGATGGCCCAGACCTAGTGTTGAGACGGGAGGCCTGAAAACTCCGAGGAGAGACAAGGGGGCTTAGGACTCGAGGCAGAGGGAGACGGAATAAAGGAAAAGCCTCATTACTAGGAGGCAGGAGGCTCAGGGAAGGGAGAAAAACCCAGCCAAGGATCGAAGCAGTGTAACCCCTTTTGCCCCATTTTACAGAAGAGGAAACCGAGGCCCAGAGTCAGGAAGTGGCTTGGCCAGTGGCTGATATTTCCTGAGAGCTGAGTGGCTGCCGGTGGGAGATGCTCTACCTGCAACATTTGACTCAGTCCTTGTGAAAATCCTGAAAGGCAGGTTGTATCCGTTCCAGATGAGGAAACTGGGGCTCAGGCCACCAGCCCACCTCTGTAGCACAGCAGCCCCCACACCTCTGAGAACTCTTCAGTGCCTGAGAGGCTGAGCCCTCAGCAGGTCACTTCCTCTCCAGGGTCCCAGGATCCTCATTGGTAAAATTGGGGGATGAGACTATCTGGTGTTTTCCAAACTTCCTTTAGCAGCAGAAGCCCACCTCCAAACCAACATCTATAGAGGAACACAGGAGAACTCTGGCCAAAGATGGAACCCTTAGCCTCTCCACCAAGACTCAAGGCATTTCTGAGGATCCTGGGCCCTGAGGCAGGTGAGGGGGAGAGAGACGGTGGTGGAAGAGGGTCAGGAATGTGGATAACCCCCTCTTCCAGCCCTGATCAAGAGCAGAAGCCAAGTTCAAAGAAACAACCTATCTCCTGGGATGACTGATAGGGCAAAAAAACCAACTCTGAAACCCACCATCCCCAGCTCAAGCCTACTATTCCCTTCCTTCTCCTATCTCCATGGCTACTATTTTGGTTCAGGCTGCCACCAACTTTCTCACAGACAATTGTTCCCGCTGCACCCAGGACCTCCTGGCCTCTACTCCCGACCCCCTCTAAGCCTGCTCCACACCGGTGCCTGAGTGTACTTTTGCACACACAAGCCTCCCTGTGGCCCACACGGCACCCTTGTGGGTTGCCCCTTCCTCCACCTGGGCCAATCCCAGCTGCTCTGCCTGTCTGCACCCTCTGCCACTGGACATCCCCCTTGCCCTTCACAACCACGCACTCCCCACTGCTTTCTTCAGAGCATAGCTCAAGATCTGAGATTGTCTTGCAGGCTTGCTGGGTAACTCTAGCCTGTGTCCCCGCTAGAGCATGGGCTTCTTCAGGCCCCGGCCTGCTCTCCTGATTATCATGCCCAGGGACACAGCCTAGTGCGCATCCGCTGAACAAGTGAACGATTCCCACTGCATGGGTGGTCACCTGCAGACAGGGTCTGGAGCTGGGTGGGAACACAGAGGGGACAGGCCAGGGGTGGAATGACCATGCCAGACACCCCCTGCTTCCAACCTGGGCAGGAGCCAGATGCCAGTTGCAAAAGTCTCTGAGCTTAAGGGTGCTTAGAGGTGGAGCCCAACCTCCTAACTGTGCAGACAGACAAGGGAGGCCTGCAGAAGCAGCCATGTGCATAGCCTCTTCCAGCCAGAAGAACCTCTTCTCCAAAATGCCCCAAAGGCTGGGCAGAAAGTGGACAGTCGTCATTGTGGAGGATAAGGGGAATCCTAATGTCAGCCCAGACAGAAGAGGGGACACAGCCAAAGCACAGGGCTCCTCTTCACTATCCAGATGTTCAAGTCCTTACCCCTACCTGGCCCTCAAGGCCAGTTATCATGGGATGCCTCCCTGATGACCCAGCCTCCTCTTGCTCGGGTGGCCAGGTCCGCACCCCGGGCCACCCCAAGCGGCTCAATTTCTAGGATCCTGTGATTGGGCCATCAGATGTGGCTGGCCTCCTTAACCTGCTGCAGGATGGTTCCAGCTCCGACCACCTTTCAAATGCTCCCCAAACTCTGACACTGCACTATTATTACCCTGCCTTTCTCGCCCAAAACCCCGGGGCAGGTAAGCGGCAGCCCAGCCCCACTACCCTTCCTCTGCCCACAGGGTCTGGGGACTTGCCCTATCGGCCTTAGCGCAGCCAGCGTCCACATCCCAGCGTCGCACCCGCAACACGAGGGACACCCGCGGGGGCTACAAAATCGCACCGACCCCGTCCCCTCCCCGTTAGCCTCGCGCACCGGAGTCTCGCCCCTCGGGGAGGCATCGCGCGACTCGAGTCCTGCTCCAGTCCCGCGAGCCCTGCAAACCTCGCGCTCTCGGGTCTCGCGCGCACCCTCAAATCTCACGCCCTCGGGTCCCACGCGCCCCTTCAAATCACGCAACCCCTCGAGCCACCCGGGTCTCCGACACCCGAGTCTCGCACTCCCTCTGAAACCTAGCGACCTTCGGCGCTTCTCACGCCCCTAGGGTCTCGCAGGTTCTCACCTGTTTCGCAACCCCACGGGCCCCTCAACTCTCGCGCCCTCGGTTCTCGCGCGCCCCCGCAAATATCGCGACCCCTTGAGCGCCCGAGTTTTTGACGCCCCTCCGGTCTCGCGCGCCCCCTCATGCCGCTCGGGTCTATGACACCCTTCAAATCTCGCGCCCCCCTCAAATCTCGCGACCCCTCGAGCAGCCTGGGTCTCTGTCACCCTTCGGATCTCGCGCGCCCACTCAAACCTCGCGACCCTTCGGTGCGCCTCACGCCCCTGGGGTCTCGCAGGTTCCCACCTGTCTCGCAACCCCACGGGCCCCTCAACTCTCGCGCGCCCCCGCAAATCTCGCGCCTTCGGGTCTCGCGCGCCCCCGCAAATCTCGCG